GGGAGGCTCCTCCTGTAGAGGGACATGCCCGATTCGAGCATCAGGGCCACTTGCGCGCAGACCGTCGAGAGCCGCCGGGCCCAGCCCCAGCTGCTCCAGGAGCACGCCCGCGGGGGGGCAGCGGCCCCGCGAGTCCAGGCACGGCGCGGCCCGAGGCGTTCCTCCTGCAAGCGGCTGACCTCTCGCTGGAACTCGGGCAGGCGGAAGCAGAGGTCTACGCTTAGGTCGGGCCTGTCCCCCTACAGCGGGAGCTTGGACGAACAATAAACCATAGTCCAAATGTATTCAAGAATAGTCAGAGAAGAATCACACAAAAAACTGTTAGTTGACTATTTATTGATATTCCTCCTGTAGAGGGACAGGCCCGCCTTAAGTCTACGCCGAATACCCCGCCGCTGGTCTCGTGCAAATCCTCAGTGCGTCGAACTGCTCCCTGATCGGGAATCCGCGGTCCGCCGTCTTCCTTCTCCTTCCACTCGTCCTCCTATTCCTCCTCCTCCTCCTCCTCCTCCTCCTCCTCCTCCTCCTCCTCCTCCTGGTCCTCGCCCTTGGTGCCCAGGCAGATGCGATGCCTACTTCCTCTCTGCTCCACGGGTCGTCGCGAGAACGCTTGGAATACTGCAACCACTTTACAAACCCTTTGACTTCGAGACTCTCCTCGGGCATTCGAGCTTTTTTTCAAAAAAAAAAAAAAAAAAAAAAAAAAAAAAAAAAAAAAAAAAAAAAAAAAAACGAAAACAAAAAAAAACGGGCGGCGGCGCTTGCCGGAGGCGTCCTCGATAAGTCCATAGCCGCTCGTGCCCCGATCAGATCGGGCAACTTTAAGACATCGTCCATGATCAACACGCCTCCTCTAGGGGGCCACATGCGAACCCTACCCCTACCCCCCACGATTTCTGAGGGGGAGGGTGGGGTTCACTTCGTTCGGGAGCTCTCGAGCGAAGTGAACCCCACCCTCCCCCTTAGAAATCGTGGGGGGTAGGGGTAGGGTTCGCATGTGGCCCCCTATCCTCGAGGAACGCGTGGAGCCACTTTTTCAAGACTGGCGAGGACGGCCTCGAACACGTCGCAGTCAATGTTGGCAACCGCAACGTCCTGGAGAGAGCTGGGAAGCTCCTGCGACACGATGTCGCGCCGATGCATCGCAAATGCAGGATGCCTCAGATTCAGACTCCGAAGAAGATTGCGAACGTTGTGAATCCAAGCGGCGGGGGAAGGGAAAACCACGTGCGTGCCGATCCAGGAGGCGTCACCCGAGTTCCGGATAGAGTCATAAGCAAACCCTTGGAAGGTATCGATCAGAGACATGTTTCGCTTGATCCCCGCTGCTGCCAAATACATCCCAGCAGTTGCCGCAGAACCACCTTTGTATACGCCGATTTCAACATAGTCTCCCGGAAGTCCACGGGTGACTTCTAGAGCCTCACATATCGTCTCGTGTATGCCCCAATGGAACAGGTCAATAAGCTGTCCCTTCATCAAAACTTCCGCCTCCCTCAACGTAGACTTCACGAAAGGGTTCTGCAATAGAAATCGAGACTCTCTCGTCCTCATCTCTGCCGGCAATTCCCATTGTCGCGCAAGCTCCCACACGCCTCTGGGAAGGGCGTTATGAATGTGACCACCGCTATTTAGGACTCGCTGCACTCCAAGAGAATGGTCATCGTCATATTCCATTAGGAAAATGAATACGTGATTGTCCCGAACGTATATTTCGTCGATGCTTGATATAAGTTCGAAATGCCCAACAGTGCTATGAGGAACACTGTCAGTTTTAAAGACATCGCTCACGAACGTCACATTGCGGGACAACGTTTTGCACCCATCGAAAAAACTGTCCAAAACAAGGAGAAGTTTCGAAGCTATCTCAGCCAAATCCGATGGCAGCGCAACATAGTAAGGCTCGTCATAATGCTGCAGGGCACGTTCTCGAGCTCGCGATGTCGTTTCAAATGCAAGGTGGCGGACCTCCACGTTCGCTGACAGGGACTCCCAACGGGGGCAATCTGTTTGGGCGTATGCAACCGACGCTAATACAAAAGAAGACGCAACATACGTAATCGCAGTATGTTTCGCTTTCGAGTGGCCATCCGCAAATTTACAGATACGCCGCAAACGTCGTAGAAGCATCGACCAGGGATACACCGGTGTGCCAAAACGGCTTGAACCAGCACAAGTTGAGTGAACATGGACGTGCACACATACAGTGAGCGGCTTGAATAAGGAACACGTACTTTTCAAAAGGGGCTCGGTCGTTCCTCAGGCCTGCATGCGTGATTTACAGCTCCTTATGCGTTATGTGTGATCTATCGTTCCTTGTGCGTTATTCCTTGGGGTAAAGGGGCTTCGTTCCTTATTATTGATTGTTCCTTAGGTCAGGCCGATGACTGTACGAACATGCACAGAAGAACTTGCGCTCAGGGGTTCTCACTTCTCTCCTCGGGAACCAGCACAGGTTGAGCGAACATGGACGTGCACACGTACGAACATGCACAGAAGCACTTGCGCTCAGGGGTTCTCACTTCTCTCCTCTCAGGAGCTGGGCTCGGTGGTCGGCCCGGCCGGCTCGAGGCCGCCCGTCGCCGCCCGTCGCCGCCGGGTGGCCGCCGCCACGAGTCGCGAGCTCGAGGGTGCAGGGCTCGCACCTCGCACTGCTCTGACTTGGCGCTGCCTCGTGCTGTATTGCCTCGCAGTGCTTTGCACAGCATTGCTTTGCGTTGCGCTGCAGCGCACTGCGTGTCATCGCACTGCGTGGACTTGCATGGGTTTGCACTGCTTCGCATCGCTTGCACATGCGTGGCATGTGCTTTGCTGTGGAGTGCTCCGTATAGCGTGCGTTGCATTGCGTTGCATTGCATTGCATTGCGTTGCACTGCGTTGCATTTCTGCGCATTGCTTTGTAATGCTTCGCATTGCCTTGCATTGCTTTGCAATGGTTCGCATTGCCTTGCATTGCTTTGCAGTGCGTTGCATTGCTTTGAATTGCCTTGCATTGCCTTGCACAGCTTAGACTGCACCGCACGTATTGCAACACCTAGATTGCACCACATTAAATCGCACCACCTACACTGCACCGAACAGATTGCAAGAGACCACTGCTTGGGGCCCACGCTGGCGAACACACACACACACACATACACACACAAACACAAGCACACTAAAACACACACACACACACACACAACAGTGCATGCACTTTGGCGTTCTTACTTCGGGTCTTAAGAACTGGACTTGTGTGTCGGTCTGGCGGTTCCGTGCCAACCGTCGCCGCCTCGTCGCCGCCAGTTGCCTGGGTTTGTGTGTCGGTCTGGCTCCGTGCCGGCCGTCGCCGCCCCGTCGCCGCTCCGGCGCCGCACCACATCGATTGCTCCGCGCCGATTGCACCACACTGGTTGCACCAGACAGATTCCCCGTTGAAAGAATTTAGGACCCATCACCCGCTCGAAGCCAGACTTACCCGCACCCTTCTGGGGATCTGCAATTTACATACGAGTCTGCCCCAATCGTCCATTATAGATATAAATTCGTATGATCCCGGCCAAACCAATAAAAACACCTCCCCGAAACGCCGTACCGAAAAAAATGCGTGCACACTTTTTCATCTTCCAAAACCATTGCTATCCTTTGCAAAAACGGGACAAAACGCACACGGGCGCGTCGTCGCATCTGTCAAAAACCCTCGGTTTCGTGCGGGATCTACAAGCCAGACGAAGTGTAAAAAAATGGTTTTGCAACGGGAAGAAGAAGGAACACCAAAAAAAACACGCGTTCTTGCGAATTCTAAAAACAACCAAAAGTTGATAAACATGTTCATCGACTGTGACCAAGCGTGCCCCGCGCGCGTGTCGAAATGGTTCGAACGCTTTTGTGCGCGTGCTGTCGCAAGAATCCCGTGGCAACAACAAGACGAAGTACACACACACACACACACACACACACACGCGCGCGCGCGCCGTCGCGCGCGAATCCCCGAATCTTCTAAAACCCTGACAGTTTAGGTTTCGTAGACATCACATCTCTTTCATCAAGTGCTACCAAACGTGCCTCTCTCGCGCGCATGTCGAAATCTTCAGAACACCGTTTCGCGCGTGCTGAGGGGGGTACGACCCTTGTCAAAGAACACCGCACAGGCCACTCGCGCGCTTCGACCGCGCTCGCATGCCGAAATCATTTCACAACCGCTAATCACCGACGCGACGACGTCATCATCATCATCGGTATGATCAACATCGGTGCCGCCACTGGCCTTGCCATCCTCACCGGCATCATGGCCCCCAGCATCACTACTATCAACATCGTGCCTGCCGGTGTCAACGTCGCCATGATACCGCGCCCGCCCGATTCACCGACTCGCACTGATGTGCCCACGCGCCAGCGCGGCCTGCGAGACGCGCTGGGAAGTTCCCAGCAGTCAGCGCCACCGCGGCCGCGTCGGTGGTGCCAGGCTGGCTAGCCGCTTTGCGTGCGAGCCTGCGCGCGCCATCGCGGCCGCAGCGACGCACCAGCCAGCGCCAAGCAGCCATCACAATCGCCGCCGCATGGGTTTTGCAAACCAAAATTGCGGGAGGGTGGGAGGGATGTTTACGCGAGCGTGGGAGGTGGCCGCGCACGAGAAAATCAAAGTTAACTGCGCCATGGAGGTTGCACCACATAGCTTGCACACCATAGACTGAGACGCATAAAATGCACAACATAGATTGCACAACATATGTTGCAACACAAAGACTGCACATTATATGCTCCATTGCATCGATTGCACCACAGAAATTGCACCACATGGGTTGCACAACACAGATGGCACACATAGATTGCAACTTTTAGAATGCACCACGCAACTTGCACAATATCCATAGGGTGCATAAACTGCATCACATTAACTGCACAACGAAAACTGCCATCATGAATTGCACAACCGTTACTGCACCACATGGATTCTCCATTAAAAAAAAAATAGACTCACCCCCCCCGCGTTATCCGCCCCCCTTCTCGGGTATGTAAATCATATATGATTCGGACCACATGCCCATCCGAAATATGAAATTACACTATCCCAGAGGAACCGGTATCGCCCCCCCCCGTGCCATCCTCGGCAAAAAACACTATGCGCGCACACGCGTTTATCAAAAATCAAAAGTTTTCACGTATCCCTTGCAAAAAACGAGACGAAGTGCACACGCGCGCGTCGTCGCGCGCGCACGCCGAAATCCGTCAAAAACCTTCAGTGTCGGAAAGATTTCGCAATCGAGTTTCCAAAAAAACATACAAAAACACCGGTTTCGCAACACCCGTGTGCTGAAAAAGCTGACGCGCGAGCCCCTGCGAAATCATAAGAAAACCATCGGTTTTTCAAGATTTTCACCAAAATGCTACTAAACAGGCTTCGCGCGCGCGCGCATGTCGAAATCTGTCGAACGCCCTTGCGCGTGTGCCGTCGCAAGAACCCTCTGCAAAAAATTAGACCAAGTGCAGACGCGCGTCGTCGCGCGCGTATGCCGAAATCGTTCAAAACCCATCGGTTTCGGAAGGATTTCAAAATCGTGTCCAAAAAAACTACAAAAACACAAGGTTTCGCAACACGGATTTTCAACAAAAGCGTGCGCGCGCGCTCTTGCGTCGTCGTCGTCGTCGTCGTCGTCGCCGTCCTCCCTCCTCCCGCGTCGTCGTCGTCGTCGCCTACGTCGTCCTCTGTCTTTCCTCGTGTTCGTCGTCGTCGTCCTCTTTGGCGTCGTGGTCGTTTCCGTCGTCGTTGTCGCCGTGGTCGTCCTTCCTCCTCCCCCCTCGTCGTCGTCGTCGTCCGTCGTCGGCGTCTCGTCGTCGTCTCTCCTATTTCGTCGCCGTCGTCGTCGTCGTTCGTTGTCGTCGTCGTCTTCCCTCCTCCCTCGTCGTTGTCGTCGTCGGCGTCGCCGTCCTTCCTCCTTCTTCGTCGTTCGCGTCGTCGCCGTCCTCCCTCCTCCCTCGTCGTTGTCGTCGTTGTCGTCGTTGCCGCCGTCGTCGTCCTCCCTCCTCCCTCGTCGTCGAGCCGCCGTCCCGGCCCGAGGCTTTTGGGTGCAGGTATCCAGGATACCTGCGAGCCTCGCGGGACTCGGCGGCCATAC